AGTAAATTTAGGTAAATTCAAATTGTGAACTCGGATTGTAAATTTGTAAGCGTTTACTTCTATCAATAAATCATTAAAAATTATATAATTAAACAATTAAAATAAAAAAATGATAACATACAATTTGGTTTAAATATATTTCAAATTCAAATTATTCAAATCAAATTCATCAATACTCACAATCTACCATCATACTCAGCATAAGAATTTCTATGAAGTTCACACACACAGAAACACACCCTGCACTTGGCAAAATAAAGTTGATATATGAAATCACCAAACATAAGCAAGTAACTATTCAAAAAATTACCAAATAGATTTTATTAAAAAAGAAGCGTTAGTTATTGGTTGTATATACATAGTACACGCTAAATAATATAAATGATTATAGTTCATACATAAATTTAAAATTTTATAAAAAAATATCTTTTATACGTGTTACCATATTAAAATTTCAGAATTAATTACTAAATATAATTTGTGACATATTTGGTTGGTTCAAAATTTTGTACTGATGTTTTATTACAGTAGAAGTGTCACAAATCTAAAATGGGTGGTCAATTGCTATTTTGAAAAGGGTGAAGGCGTGAGTTTGCTATTAGGCTCCTCAGTGTCAAATTCATGAGAAAAGAAGAAGCTCATATTAGGTTTTACTGTTGATACGCCTTTATCACCACTAAACTAATTCAAAGTTTGAGCGACTTGTTTGTAGGGGAAAAAAGGTTTAAGGAGGTATTTTGTGAGTTATATATATATATATCTATATTGAGGGGAAAACAAAAATAATTGATACCATGAGGGTTATTTAGACAAAATTAAAAGTTTAGGGAGATTTTTAGTCAAATTTGAAAAATCTACAGAACTATTTGCATAAAGATAAAAGTTTATGAGAGTTGCATAATAATTAAATATCAAGTTTATTTTATCCAACTCTCAATATCGAAAGAATTGAATTTTTCTCACGTTTGGTACAAAATCTATATATAATATAAAAACTCAAATAAACTATACTATTATTTTAGAAGTTGTGACCAAGTTTGAGTATAAACAAACTCATAATAATAGGAACATAAATTAGAATACTAAACTCATAAGAGTTTATTGCTATAAATAAATACCTACCAAAATTATATGACTAAATGATTAGAATAAAAAAACGACAACAATTTGATTTTAATATACTTCAATTCAAAACTTCTACCTGCTTCGATCTTTTATTTTATGTTTTTGGGTAAGCATAGATAATTCTATTTGAAATACTGTTAAGCACTAAATATGGATACTTCTCTTAGTAAGGATTCGAATAGTGATTCATTAGGTTATGAGAAATTAATATCTTCACTAGATTCAATCTAGTTGGTTTTGATCTTTCATCTTTTTCTTCGTAAGTTTCAGCTCTTGAACAGAAGGCAAAAGGTGTAATGTCGAAACAAAATATCAAACTATTTCACCAAAAAACAAAAAATCAAACTAGAAGAAGGCGCCAATACTTTAAGACTTCAAAATGAAACCACTTATGTTCAGTATTTCTTGATTTTGTATTAATAAAAGTTTTGTCGTTTAATTTCTATTTTTCTTTGGATTAGATTCTCTTACACATGAGTTTGATCAAGTCACTTGTGAGTTCACTCAAATTTATAATTAGCACAAGTTTACGAGTGAGTTAACATAATTTTATGAGCCATATATGAAAATAGTAAATTCAAGGAGTCAATTAGCCCTTCAATTGACAGTTAGTATAATTTTAAAAGTAAGTTAACACGATTTTATAAGTTAAAAATATAAAAATAATAAATTTAACAGGTGAACTAAGGAGTTTGATTACCAGTGCTTGTAACAATGTTGTTCATTTTCCATAGAAGCGGAAAACGTTTCAATGGAGCAATGAATGATCCTAGTAACACGGCAAAGGATAAAAAATAAAAAAAATAAATAAATAAAACTCAAATCTTGCAGGTTGACCTTTCTAACTACCCAAAAAATCTGTTTTTTTCCCACAAAAAAAAAAACTTCAGTCACGTGCGAGCGGATTTGGGTAACGTCCAAATTCGAACATAATAAAAAACAAATAAGGGGGGACCAATAAATCAAATTCTATAATCGAGTGTTCAACCACCTAATTCAACAATTGATTATCTGTCACGTCACCTTAATGTCTTCGTCAAACTCTTGAGGGTCTAGCTATTAAATTAATTAATCACCAACATATTTTATATCTTCGCGGACTAATATAACACGCATATTTATTCAGGCTTACTCTCCTGATCTTATTTATAAAGCATTTTTTGTATGTTTTATATAGATTAAGAAAAATTTTAAACTTTATTAACTCTTATTTAAAATTTAATAACTTTTCAACTTTATCCCTATTTAATATACATTATGTCTCATGTAAACAAAGTTAACATTTAATAAATAAGAAGTAAAATTGTATATCCATATAATTTTTTTTTCAGTACCGTATAAATAGGACCAAAATATATCTTATCTCTCATATAAATATTTACAGAGCCACATAAGTAACATTTTATAGAAGTGAAGAATGGGACATGTGGGGACCAAATAAATTAATGTTTTAAATATAATTTTTTCTTGTAGTTTTTGTGTGTGGCCGAAGTATAGTAGCTCTAGTTAATCAAAAGATTTTTTATATTTAAATAATTCAGATATTTTCCTTTATTTGCATAGATTATAAAAGGCTGGCAGGAAAAAAACATAGATTATGAAAGATTTAAGAAGTTTAGTAATTTTTAATTATTGATTTTAAAATCAGTTATTGACTTGACAAGGGTAATTTTATTATCAAAACTGTTTCAAAAATTATTAAAAAATATATTTGATATTATGACTTTGATGAACTATACCAGAAAAAAACTGGAAAAGAAATTATTTTAAAGCAGAAAGATAATATTCTTATTTCAAGAAGTTAAATCAATTTTTTTTCAATTTAAATGATAATTATAACCTACCCTCATTGAATTAAATAGAAGTAACCCAATAGAGTTAAAGTGAGGCATTAGGCTGATAGAAAAGTATAAGATATGAAAAAAAATTTGTGAAAGGTATACATAATCTGAGATTTGAAAATGCTCTAATGTAAATTGATCAATGATATCAAATATTTAAAGTTATCAAAAACATAGAAGACTTGGAAATTTGTTATGATGGAGACTTATGCCGAAGAATAATTTTTTTGTTTTGACCAATGGATTTTTAATTGTTTGATTTATTATCAGTATATATAATTATTTAATGCCGACAAAAAATTCATAATCACAGCCCCTTCAGCAGTGCAACATTCGATTCTATCTCTGATTCATATATTCGATCTGTTCTTTACATCTATTTTATTATATGGTAACAAAAAGTGACATGCATGGAATCCTTTCTTTTTTTTGCATTTATCTATTTCTTTTTTTTTATCTATCATAATTCATTTATTTTCTTTAAAAATTCTGCATATTCTTATGGTTATTAACCAGAATTCAAATGTCAGAAAAAGAAGAAGAAGAAAGAAGAAGCAGCGTATTTCCATGGAAGCCTCCTTACACAAGAAACGGCGATAATTAATTTGTCTTGAATTTTTGTTGTCTTGTTGACTACTTCTATCAGAATTTTCAGACTCAGGTTTTATAAAAGTCTTCGATTTAAAAAAGCTTATATAAATATATTACCTCCGATTCTAATTATAAAAACCAGTTGACTAATTTGAGGAAATTAATAAAAGAAGTTAAGTTAGTTATTTGTAATAAATAGGTGTTGTCTTTCCTAAAATATCCTTACTAATCAAGTATGTTGGTTAAAACTATAATTATTAGAAAGACTATCTTTAAAAAAATTGAGTAAATATAAGAAAAAATGGATTGTGGTCTTATATTTAAGACCAACACAAAAGTCAAATGGAGTCTTATATTAAGGACCGGAAGTAGTATAAAATAAGATAACATTTTTATTTAACCAATTTAAAATATAAATTAGAGTTTCTTGGGTAATTATCTTTTTTAAAAATGAAAAAAATATTTTATAAAATGTAGAAACATGACTTGATTTCTAACTGAACTAACATAATTGTAGAATTTTTTAAAGTTTTTATTTTATTTTATTATCATCTATTCGAGCAACCAATTAATTCAGTTTGGAATTCGTAGTTGCCTCTCTGAGCCGGTATTTCCTTTGAATTTAAACATAATACCGCACTATTTCAAATGCTTAGTTCTATCATAAATATAAGGTTGATTTAATAGTTTTAAACTGACCCAAAAATCAAAATTTCTCTTACCTCTTGCATTAGTTACTCCCTCCGTCTCTTTGTATAAGTAATTAGACCTGATAATGTATATCAAAATATTAGTTAAAATTGGTTAAAGATAATAAAGGTGTAGAAATTGAATTTTTTTCCCCTAAAACACCTTTATTTATGGGAAGAGAGAGTATAAGAAAGAGAATAAGATAAGTATTATAATAACGAAAATTATGAAAGAGTGAGAATATGTGATGAATAGATGATGATTTGGAAAATAAGATAATAAATATATTGAGTATTAAAATAAGTAATTAATGGGGTAAAATAGAAAATTCGTTGTAAAAATTTAAGACAACTTTCAAATATTGCTTATATTTAAGAAGAAGAGGGAGATAGTTGTTGTTGTTGTTTATAAAAAGAGACGGATGCAATATATTTTTCTTATAGTACCCTTATTTATTAGTATATGTTTAACTTTGTGAATTAAATTCTAATAATTAAATAACAAAAATATTTTTGAAAAAGCATGAGAATTTTCTAATATTAAAAATAATTGTCTTAACTACTTCTTGATGGCCTCTATCTGACAGGCGTGCCATGGAAAATTTGAAGAAAATCTTTATTATATTTATAGCACATATCATTATAATATCTATGTAGTTAGTATAGATTCCACAAAGATGGTGTTCTTTTCTTTTTCTTTTTTGTTTTTTTAAAAGTTAATGCAGTGATGATCGCCCTTTTCTTTCCTTTCTTGAGCAGTAAACAGATTCATGTGGCTCATGATTTTTCCCATTGGGACCGTCTTTTTACTTTGCCCGTCCATCACTGCATGTGCTGTGGAAGAAGACTGAAGAGTGGAGCACAGATTTTATTCTAAAGCCGCCCCCACGTTTTCCTCTTCATCAATTTCAGAGCATGCTTCTATTCTGTTGCCATATTCCCTGGAATAAGCTCTTCTCTGAGCTTTAAGTCTTGCAGAGTTCCTCTGCTCTGTGCACCAATTGTTTTTGAAATCCTTTCTTTTTTTGCTGTGTGTGGATTCTTATTTGCGATCTGAGGATGCTTATGCTTCTCGAGTGGGCCATCTGAGGCGAAAACTAAGGCGTAATGCTGGAAGCTGGATTTTTGGTTTGTATCCTGAACTGGGTTGATGTTCTTGCTATTATGGGGAGTTTTATAATTATTTGAGGATCTTCAGGTACTGGAGGATTCCAAGGGTTTTCCTTTTTCCCGAAGGGTTTTGATGTTGACTTTGTCCGATATCTTTGGAATTGAGTCTTTCAACGTTGATTCATGGAGGAATTGATGCTTTTGTAGTGAAAGGGTTTGTGTGAATTTGAATTGGGAATTGATACTTGAATTTGCATGTTTTGCGGACTCTGTATTTCTGAGAATTGGACTATTGGAGATTTGAGTGTGTGATTTTGGAAAGTAGTTATGGAAGTGTTTTGGCAATTAGTTTCTGAGTGAAGATTTGTATAGCGGTAATGGCATCGGCTTCTCCTTCTCCCAATTCTTCTCCCTCTGCAGTGCCACCAACTTCTGCGAATAATACAGCACCACCACCTTCTTCACCTTCATCGACAAATTCTTCTAAGACCCCTCCTCCTTCATCTCCTAACCCTTCAGCTACGCCTCCTGCTCAGGCAGTGCCTTCAACCCCGCCTCCCTCTCCGTCTCTGTCTCCTCCGCCGCCATCACCGCCGGCATCTCCTCCACCTTCTCCTGCCAGAGCTCCTCCTCCAATTGCAACCTCACCTACCCCTCCTAGTTTATCCCCACCACCTCCATTGGCTGCTCCACCACCAGATTCTTCACCTCCTCCTGCAGAAAATCCACCCCCCTCACCTATTTCTCCAATTCTTCCTCCTCCAGCTCATAACTCAACGCCGCCACCGTCTGGTAATCCTTCTTCATCAGGAGGAAAGCCACCGAAAAGTCCTGCTTCAAGCCCTTCACTTGCACCACCTCCATCACTTTCTAAGTCTCCTCCCTCCACAAATGCTACCCCTCCTTCCAAAACACCTTCAACTCCTTCAGTCCCTCCTCCAAAGTCTTCACATGCATCTCAATCTTCCTTTCCAACGGCGTCGCCTACTGGTAAATCATCCAATCATAGAAATACATCGGCAAACAACGCACCTCCACAGCCAGGAGGTTCAAATACTGGACTATTCACAGTTATTGGCATTATATTTGGCTTTGTTGTCCTCAGCCTTCTTGTTATGGCGATTTGGTTTGTATGGAGGCGGAAGAGGAAGGAAGCAAGATGGAAAGTTGGTTACAATATGCCTTCCCCTTATGCCTCATCTCATAACTCAGGTATTACATTTTGCACTGCCAGCTACTAGGAATATATGCTCTGTTGGTAGCTCTATGCCCTTTGTTGTCAACCTCAAATATGTTTTATTCAGATAAATGTAAAGGATTTCCGTAGTTCTATGTAAACTCTTACTTTGTTTATGTTGCCAATGGTTGTCTTGGTTTTCATAATCATGACACCTTTTAGGTAAAATTAGATACATGTCCTGTGTATTGCACAAGATCTAATAAATAAGTTATACTACACATGGTTTATGAATAGCGTGGTTTGTTGGAGCTTTCGTCTTTAATATTGATGACTTGTAAGCTATTGAAGCTAGAAAGATGCTACACTTTTTATGTACCATACATTTTGGCAGATTATTTCCTTTGTATTTTCAACTTTTTAAATTTAGTCATAAATGAATGTGTAAATGAGTGCTAGATTTTTTTTTTTTTTAAAATGTTGATTTGTCTTTTTTCCAGGCACAACGTTCTTAAGGCAACAGTCTTCCCTTTCTCCTAAGGATTGTGGTAGTGATTTCGTGTATTCACCCTCAGAACCAGGTGGACTAAGTGGTTCAAGATCTTGGTTTGCGTATGACGAACTTGTCCAAGCAACAGATGGGTTTTCGGCACAAAACCTGTTGGGTGAAGGTGGATTTGGTTGTGTCTACAAAGGCTTTCTCATGGATGGAAGAGCAGTGGCTGTGAAACAGCTCAAAGATGGAGGCGGGCAAGGGGAGCGTGAGTTTAGAGCAGAAGTTGAAACTATTAGCCGAGTACATCATCGCCACCTTGTTTCCTTGGTGGGCTACTGTATATCTGAGCATCAGAGATTGCTTGTCTATGACTACGTTCCCAACAATACCCTTCATTACCATCTCCATGGTAAGATGTATATCGGGTTAAATGATTGAATAAATAAAAATAAAAATCTTAATTAATTCAACACAAATTCAGAACTTCAATAGAATTAATATTAGGTTTGATATCTTCGTGATGCAAACCATTGAAAAATTATCATTATGAAGATTATTCACTTGCTTGATAACTAATGAGAATGAACTCTATTATAATTATTGTTATCTGTTTAAGTTTGATCTAAACTTAAAGAAATACTTAAAATATAATGCATCCTTTGTCTTATTGTTACTCAATTTGGTGTTAATTGAACAGAAACTGACTGTTTCAATTTACTTTCAAATCCAAAGCAGGTTGTTCTTAAATATCCAGTAAATATGCTGTCATATATTCATGCTTTCAAAGCACAATTAAATCCTCATCTGTCTTGATCTGAAACTGAAGCTTGACATGTATATTTAACATTTTGCAGGTCAAAACGGGCCAGTTATGGATTGGGCTACAAGAGTGAAGGTTGCAGCTGGTGCAGCTCGTGGAATAGCTTACCTACATGAAGACTGTATGTTTCTTCTACCTACCTAGTTTTATTCAGTGCACATTCCATGTTCTGAAGTTCTCAAATGTGAGAAGATAGGCTTGATTTAGAGCACTTCCGTGGTAACATGTTTTCTATAGTTGCACAAACTTTTTAGCATGTTTTTCCTTTTAATTTTAAAATGAAGATTCCCCCCCCCCCCCCAATTTAGCCCATATGTAATGTAACTGAAACATATATAACATTTAATCAAGTAAATAGAAACTTGGAAAATTTTCCAACTGCAATGAAGCTGGCCACATCACCTAACTTTGGCTTTTGGAGTCGAGCTTCTTTTTCTGATTTTGTTTGATTGACTTTTCAGGCCATCCCCGCATTATTCACCGAGACATAAAGTCATCAAACATCCTTCTTGATAACAAATTTGAAGCTCAAGTAAGCCACTTTCATACTTTGTATATTCTGACGTGATCACTGTGATTTACATTCATTTAATTGTTAGCCTCAACAGCTGATTTTATTGAAGCAATATTATAGCAGGGAATGACCAAAGTTATCCAGTGTATTGACAATACGTTGCTTACCAAATTTATCCTGTTTTCTTCTTAATGAAACTCAAGATTCTTTTTTGCGATCTGATCAACAGGTTTCCGACTTTGGGCTTGCAAAATTAGCAATGGATTCATATACACATGTAACCACACGAGTCATGGGGACCTTTGGGTAGGTAAACCACATTGCTGGTTAAGCACCAATCATTTAATTAAGTGCATAGTAATAAATGATATGATTATGCTTTTAAATCTTATCATTTGCTCATGTGTATCCTTATTGGAATACATGCATCACTTCCATCGTTTGCTAGTACCTATTGTCTTGGCATCCGGTACCTGGAAGAGCGAGTAGTTGAGCACAGTCTGTGAATAGAGTTATCAACTATTATAGTGCTTTGTTTAAATCCTAATTGGAAAGTTATTTGTGATTTGGAGTTGTTCCTCTTTGCGGCTGTGTCGTATTGGTCCTGGGTCTACCATGTAGTGTTGTCCTGTTAGTTATACAGATCCTAGTCGTCTCGTCATGTTCATTTCCATTATGAAAGGTAGCACTATGAAGTTGAGCTTCAACTCATTTGGTAAAAAATGGGGTATAAGTATATTCTCTTCCGTTTTGTCTCATCGTCGGTTTGTTTGAATACCAGGTACATGGCACCTGAATATGCAACAAGTGGTAAACTGACTGAAAAGTCAGACGTTTATTCTTTTGGGGTTGTGCTTTTGGAGCTGATTACAGGTCGGAAGCCTGTGGATACCTCTCAGCCCACCGGTGATGAGAGCCTGATTGAATGGGTGAGTTACATAAAACTAAGCATTAACATAGCTATGCCTTTTTATTATTGTTGGTCTTCATCTTACCAATGTAAACTACCAAAGACCAAATTGAGCTCAAAAGATTATTAAGCTTTTATGAAAGGGCCAATAAACACTTTGCTTTTCACTTTTTATTTTTTAATTTTAATAGGTGGGAGAAAAAAAACAATTGCATGCCATTTGATAAGAGTTCCCTCAGTTGGCCCGGAAAAAAAAAAAAAAAAGAGGAAAAAAGATTACAAAGTACCCTTTGTTTTGGCTCTTTATATGATTATAATATGCATATCTCTATAAATGATAGAACATGGGACTTGGGACATGGATATATGGCACTGGATCTTGTGCTTAAGTTTAGCTTTTTAGCCTAAGGGTATATAGTTATGTTCTAGCGTGGGTATGCCCTCATATGCACTGAAATGCATGGTTTTGGGGAGCGAAGGCACTGGTATGAAGGATGGGGGAAGAAAAACAGAGAGGCTTTCAGGTTAGAATTTGGGATGCCAAAGATTGAAATATTGACCACCTGGCCAAAAAGGCTGATATTCACGGACGGACAGACGGAGGCAAAGGGTATGTAGTTATGTTCTAGCGTGGGTATGCACTCATGTGCACTGAAATGCATGGTTTTGGGGACGGAAGGCACTGGTATGAAGGATAGACATTATTATATATGTGTAGAGTTAGGTAAGTGTGGAGTATCTCTGTGTTATCAATTTATTAAAGCAGTTATGTCATTGATCAATGTTAACTCTTCATTAACAAAAAGTGTATGATACTTAACATTTTTTTATTATGTAAGTCAATATATTTTTTTTCCTTTGATAACTGGGAGAACATTCGTATGAAGTTGTGAGTGACTTTAGAAATTAGTGAGTGTGCGTATATGTATATTTGCTATAGAATTTGTAGATGATATTAACTAAGATTTGTTCCATGTCAAACATTTCTTTACAGTTTATATCTTACACACAATACTGTGTGGAGCTAGGTCTCATGCTCCTTGGGTGTAATTTGAAATTACAAATAGACAAATATGAAAAGAATAGGAATTATATATCTATTAAATTAGATGTTACATGTCTATGCAAGATTATATATATTTACTTCTGTTCTATTTGTGTCATTTAATATATATCAAATAATGTTGATCTTTATATTATTGCGACATATAGGATCCATTATTCCTGATTTGTGATGATATTTACTGCTGGTGAAAGGAAAATTTGCAAGCAGTCGTGTTATGAAATTGCTTGCGGATGTCAATCTCATATCACTACTTGCATTTTCATTTGATATGTCATTGTTAGAGGGAGAAGGAAAGGGAACAAAAGCAGATTAAAAATGCTCATTTCAGTAATAAGCTAACCTATTTTCTTCAGGCTCGACCACTATTGAATCAAGTGCTTGAAAATGAAGACTATGATATACTGGTAGATCCACGACTCGAGAAGAACTATAATAGAAATGAAATGTTTCGGATGATAGAGGCTGCGGCTGCCTGTGTGCGTCATTCTGCCGCAAAAAGACCACGAATGAGTCAGGTAGCTTGTTAAAAAATATATATATTGGACTTGAATTGTGTAATCTTGTTCTCTTGGAACATTCCATGCATGTACCTCTTCTTCAGAGATATTTACTGTGCATGCTTCCTTGTGTGCATCGTTTCCTAGGTCGCAAGAGCTTTGGATTCAATAGATGAGTTTTCCGATCTCTGCAACGGAATAAAACCTGGCCAGAGTACAACCTTTAATCCTTCACCACCATCCGCTCAAGTCAGAATGTTTCAAAAGATGATTTTCGGTGGGGCCAGTCAAGATTTCAGTTCCAGTTTCTTTAACGATTCTCAGAGTAGCTGGAGAAGCAGAGAACAGGAGGACTCAAAACACCATGATCTCCCAAAATAAAGTGATATTAATTCTTTTACAATAATGATCTGGTAAATTATATATAGATTTTTTATTGTGAGGGAAATTAATATATCTACTTACAAAATGCCCATTCCCACCTATGCCTCGCCATGTTTGGAGAAATTCTGATGCACACAGGTGACATGCCTCTAACTTTTTTCTGGAGAAGCTTCAGCGTTTGTTCTTAACAGTGTTGGAGCTCTCACTTCAATTCGTGCAAGACCAAGTGCTGGGGCGTTTTTTTAATGTAAATAGGATCTCTAGGCTGATTTTTTGTTTTCCTCTTCATACATGGTTTTCCTTACTGTAAAGTTCTTATTCTGTATAACCTTTTAAGTTTTTTCCACATAACACAGATGTAGTGAAAATGTAATGCCTTTTGTTTTGCTTTATAATGTGAAAATGAGGCACCAGACATTGACGTTATACTGCTCTCAATATTTCTTTCATGCCCATCCAGTGTATCCATGACCATAATGAACATACATTTGAATTCTAATTGCATCAAATTAAGTTTATTTGTGCGTCAACTAAACGGTCATGATGTGGAAATTAATCTAACTTCTGTTTAAAGTCTTACTCCCGCCATATCCGCCTATTTTCTTGACGGGTTAAGTTAGTAACTTTTTGACATGTCCACCTTGTTGTTGAAAGTTCATACAATGAAGTGATCGGCCCACGAATTTTCTAATTTAACAGTACAATGATTAAGACTAAGTTTCATTGTTAATGAAAACGACTCTACTAGAAATAATCTAGAGCAACCAGAATCCAATAGAACTACAATTATTGGAGATCTATATTAATCAACACAACACAAAAAATGACAAGAATGTTAACCACAGCTTCAAACTGTAAGAACTACTCGACCAGAAGTCTCCTAGGGACTGACTACAGGGCTAAGTTAATGACATATTAAACAACTGTAAACAACTTATATGTACAACTGTGCGATTAAGGCTTTAGAATTGTCTGAACGTAAGATTTAGGCGACCAGGACGAAGCCCTGTAGCTTCCAACAATTCCCTTGGAGCTGAATTTGGAATGATACACGAAACACCATGAAACACAAGTCGAGATTCACCACCAAATATCAATACATCTCCTGATTCTAAAAGAACCTTCTCTGCCTTCTCCACGTCCCTCTCATCCCCATATAGAAATTCTGCAGAATCTCCCACGGAAAAGGACACAACAGGCAATCCTCTACGCAGAGACTCTCTACTTTCATCACGATCCTGCATAGTGTAATTTCAAAATTTAATCTGGTGTCTCGTCATTTTTGTGAACATTTCATACTCCTTTATTGTAAAATGTAAGCTTTGTTTCAAAAAACTTTAGATGTAAAATCCAAGTATACTATACTCTCTGAATTAGCATTGCATAGAAAATACAATAAAAATTTAGAAATAGTAAGAGAAAAAGGGGGATGATGCAAAGTTTACAAGAGCTGACCTGATGAAGACCAAGCCTTCCATGGGCAGAATAAAAATTGACTATGCATATGTCTGGAGACATTGAAGGGAGTATATCTTCCACATTGGTTACGCTGAATTTCTTCTTGCAGAGATTCTGTGCCTCTTTAATTGCCATACTGGCCAAGCCCTGGAACATGTTAGGAATATTTGGGGGTTCATAACCGTCAATCAATCGTTTATTTCCATATTTTCTGGTCTGAGGATCCCAGTCCAGACCAAGACACATCATTTGCAATCGGAGTTTTGCCCCATCCTTGTAACCTGGCTGGTAGAATCCCCTGGGTCTCCGGCCAAGCTTACGACAAGTCCTAACTAATTCGACCTAAAACAGTTAGAAAAATGGTGAGTATCACACATTTAAATCATTAGATTTATGATATGTAAAATGACCCGGATTTTCAATATGATTTCAAAAAGTCACGTTTTCTTTCAGGACAAGGGCAGTGCAGAACAACAGGTGAGGAAGATAATGTCTTCACATGAAATAGCCTTTCAAGAAAAAAAGTTGCAAAATTTGAACTATTTATCTGCCTAATTTGTTTCCACAGTGGAATATCCATCATCAAACATCAATATCGAATTCGTGTGACTTTTTGGATGAGTATAAAAAGTACCTGATTCTTGGGGGATAAGTAATGTTTCAACAGAACCATCCCAGGCTTCAGTATCATCTTCTCTGCTAATCCCTCCTGCATCTCAGTGCACCTTCCCTTGTTTGAATGCAAAGAACTATTCAAACCAGAATTACGCCTTCTATGAACACAGATGTCAAAAGGTTTAATATCTGGTGGATCTACCTTGTAACCAGCCAGGGCATTATTCAAATTTCTTTGAGCAGAACGCCTCTCGACATAACCAACCTCACTGTTCTTCCCTAAATGATTAGGGAAAGATGATTTCTCTTGATATCTTGTAATGTTTGATGATCGAGATCTCTCAGCAGGGGACATACTATTATGACTTGCAGAACTAGGACTAAAACCAGGCAACGGGTTTTTATCCGTATTTGTGTGCATTAAGCGTATGTTTGATTGTACAGAATGAAGAGGATTTGACATAATCCTAGATTCAGTACATGTGTTGCTAATAGTTAAGAAGGGGCGTGACGAAGAACCATGCAGATTCGTATTATTTGGTAGTGGGAGTGTTACGGGAAGAGAGCCAATCATTATACATTTTCCTTGACATGGTTTCTTTGGGGTACTTGCATCATAGTGCACTCTTCAGTATTGCCACAAAATTGCGGACCACAACCTGCAAAACCATCCTGCAATTCGAATCCAGTATAATTGTTTAAGTTGTTGAAATTATCTGAAGAAGTAAGGTTAAAATAATGAATCCCTAAGTTGAGACAGTCACAAGATAAGAATCTGATATATAACTATAGTTTTAGATAAAATTTGGTTAGATTTGTTAATTAAATATAAGACCCTTATACACACTAGTATAAGGGTCTTGTATTCAGGACTGGAGGAGTATATAATTAAGAGAGTTTAGATGGGATTTAATTATATTAATAAGATTTGGATTAGATATTTACTTAGGATGAGGATTACCATTCATGGCTCATAATTTCAGTTTCTCTTCTTCTCTTTTTCCCACGCTCTCTCTCTCTTTCACTTTTCTTTCTACAATTCCCTCTGCCATTTGAAGGTAGTTTCACAGAGAAATGCAAATCCAGTAAATCTCTATACAACCTACAACCTAGTTTCAGATCACAAAAGGAGATAGAATCACGTAATAATCCGGCTTAAAAAATGGATTATATAATCCCAGAGCACTACATGATTATCATTAAACAAGATTGTCCCAACTGAAGTGCAAGTTATCAGAACCATGGCCTTTGGTCTACATGTAGTAAAGTCATTATAATTCTGCACTAAGCATTGAGAATTAAGAAAATCCCATTAAGAAAAGAAGTTCGCTCTTTCTGGCATTTTACGTTCGAATTCTTCACATTCAAACTCAAAACGAAAAATAGAAAAAGGTAAACACTTACAGAGTCCTCAAGAACAGGTTTAGCGCTATTCCAGCCGTTGCTCATCATCGCCGAACGCGGAAAACTAAGAGAAATTTGGCGGAAAACGTAGCGACCCAACGACGGCCGAGAAAGAAACGACAATGGCAGAGTGAGAGTGTTCATCATTTGGCGATTAAAGATACTTACGATCATGGTAAGCAAAGCGTTATGAACTTCGGCGTTCGAGACTCTCGGTAAACGGAATCAATTAAACGTGAGAAGCAGTGATACCGAAGCGTTGGAAGTCACGGCTTCGCTATCTGTTCCGGCAACAGTTGATGTGACGCGGCGTTGCAGTGATCCAGGTAATCGGAGTTATCGATGAAAAAAGAAGCAAGACGATTCGAGAAAGCGCAAAATGATGGAGCAATCTAGCATTAATTAATGATTAGTTATCAGTAATTAATTATTTTTTTTAAAAAATATATCTTTCACAAGAACCTCATTCACAGTTGCCCGTAGGAATCTCAGATAGAGCTGTTTTGGTAAACCACCGCCATTCTGGGTCGCTGTGGGGAATCGAGAATCCTTCAATCAGTTTTCTTTCTTGGATGGTTGGGGATAATGATGTCTCAATCACTGCAGGTAATTCGTCCCCATCTTGGCATCAAGTTCCGATCGTGCTTTGGGCATTTCGAATTTTCTTCAAATATGTTTTCTGTTCTGTTTTGAATGAACCATTGGAAGAAGAAGAAGAAGAAGAAGAAGATCAATCACCGCCCCATACGAAGATCGACACAGGGCAAATGTAGTGGGAGATATTAGAGAGTACATATGAATAACTAAGCTTCGGAGCATAAAGAATGGAGGAAAGCTATATATGGAGGAAGAAAACTGTGCCCTAAAACAAAATGAAAATGCATTCCTGCACGGAGAATTATCTGGGGAGTATGTATAATTATACATGGATCAACTACAGGGATGCAAGAGCAAGGAGCACCGATCCAAATACAATGCGAACTAATTTTCAATCTTCATCTATACTCGAGGAGGCCCTTTCAATTTAGCTTGCTTGGTTTATAAATATGAAAGAATTGAGCTTTGAGCAGGAATTACTTGCGGCTACATGTTGTAGCCCGTAAGGTATATGATTCGCCAATCCTTTCCCATAGTTTGGATTCCATGGCTCCCCATTCCTCTTTTTTCTCTTTAAAATTTATTTTAGATGCATGCAGCTCTTGAATATTTCAACGGAATCATCTTTTATGACTCTTTCTTTCAAGATTTCTCTTTAATGTTGTTTGCCCTAAAGCAGATTTTTTTTATTTAAAATAAATTAGGCAATGGATTTTAAATTGATAGTAATTTTATATCAATAATTTTAAAAATAAAGCAAAAGGCTAAAAATGAATAAAAAGACATCATCTAACGAACTAATCAATCCATATATTATTAATATCAATATTGTTATTATAATATAAAATTTATGATAAAAAGCATACTATTCATAAATTATAAATGGGAGAATTACAATCAAGTCCCATGCAAGAGAAATAAGTAAATAACTACTAAAAGTCTAATAACGATTTGAGCAACCTGTAATGACAAGTTCTAGAGTGAATAATAACAACCTTAAGACTTATTTTGTAATTTTTTCTTTTGCATGAGATCTTATTGTAATTCTTCCATTATAAATTGTGTATCAAACTTTTCAAATCTTGTAAAATAAAAAGTCATCAAACTCTTTTTCACGATGCAAAATAACTTGTAAACTGTTATAAATAAAGAAGAAATATAAAGAAGAATCATATAGAGGAAGAGAGGATCAACAAGAGAGAGTATTTTTCATTCCTTTAAAGAGTACTCAATACATTATACATGGCCTCTATTTATAGGCACAGCTTTACATCTTTGATAGAATCTACAAATTACATAATAATATGAGATAATTGTAGGATATAGAGATAATAGGAGATATTAAAGATTATAGGAGATAGAAGAGATAATGGGAGATATATAGACATTCACAAAGATATTATTATATTTATAACACTCCAATATATATGAATGTTCCTCGTTAAAAAACTTCAACTAGGAAAAACCCTGTGGGACAAAAACCTAACGAAAGAAAAAGAGTACATCATTCATTGATACACTATGCAATGCTGCCTCATTAAAAACCTTGCTAGGAAAACCCAGTGGGACAAAACCATAGATAAGGAAAAAAGAGTACAGCGTCTTTCAACTCCCCCTCTTGGCAATATCAGTTGACATCTTTGAGCCTACAAAGTCTAATATAACAAACAACCCTTCCAAATATTGTAATGAGATAAAAACATCAAATATGAATTTCATGATCTTCTGAAAATCATGAGATGAATGGTCCTTTTATGGTTTATCTACACGTGGGTCATACTATGATCTCTTGACATGAGGATCAAACAAAAATACTTTATCTGTATAGCTATTAAGATTAGTCTTGGGTACCTTCAAATACAATAATATTACCTCCATGACACCCTTAAAGTAATAAAGAATATTTTTAATTCCATTCCAGCATCTTCATATTGATAAAGAACTATATCATGGTAATTAGCAAATGATGTATCAGATTATATATGGCTAGATATATAAATGCTTCAGTGATACTAAGATATGGTACTTCTGGACCAAGTGTTTATTTATTACTTTCTAGAGGTCTAAATCGATATTTAGTCCATATCTAAAGATCTTACAACTACTGAAACATATAATGGGTATTGCTTATCCACATAATGGATGTGACTTATCTATATGTATTCTTCTGAAAGCTTTCATTTCAATTTTTTTTAAAAGTAATTCGCAACTTTTGAAAACTCATCAGGAATTCTGATACTCTCATTATAAATAGTACTGATAACAGACTCATTTTGAATCTTTTCACAAACAGACAAGTTGGAATAAGTTTACATCATTCCTTCAATTGATATTAACCACATATGTCTCATATAGAGACTTACTTCAATAGTATTCTTGAAAACATAATTGTATGCTTCTAGAAACTTAAATCTTTCAAGGATTTTCATACATTATGATCTATGTCTATTTATGTATTGGATCGTTTATATTTATACAAAGATTTGAATCCTTCTGGGATTCACATATAGTTTCACTATATAGTGAGTTACTGAATTGTATTTTCTAGACACATATGAGATATTTTTATATATTATCAAACTATCAGATTGATAAGATACATAAAAATTCTAATTCACCACAAGACTGTATTTCTCTTTTCTTGTACAAATGCCCATTACACTTCAAGTGCTTGGGTTACAATGTTACGTCTTTTCTTTTCTGTTGACCAACCATTTTTCTGTCTGTATCTCATGACAAATTTATATATAAGATCCTCATTTGATCATATGATATCATCAATAAAATTATTGTCGACAATTTTATTCCTTTACCGGTCCCCTTTTCTTTTATGACATAACATATCGAGATCTTTATTGCTTTCAGACACTTAAACCTCTTCAAGGGTCAAACAATTATATCTTAATCTCTTTTGCAATTCATGCCTCCTTAGTATGATCATCATGATCATTTGTTCCTTTTTCTTTTCTTTTGGAGCCCATCATAATTTCATGCTTTTAGCATGTCTTAAAAAATAGGAGCACTTTTAGCTGGAATATAAGAATTAAGAATTCTCATTTTGATCAGTAATTACATCTGGCAGATATTAATAATATTTTATGAATGCAATACTTTATAAACTTCTAGTTCATATTACTATATTTGAGGATCTACATTTGATAGTAAAAATGCATTTTATGCATTCTCTTTTCCAGCTACACATTTTCTCCCACTCATATTGGGAAAATATAATGTAGATCTTCTAAATCCATAAATCTCCTTTAGAAACATTATTTTGTTTCATTTAGAGACAAACAAGAATAAGGAGATTCTATCCAATATTGATCCCAACTTACTTTTAATATCCATCTATGTGCGTTACTGTGGTGGAATAATAGATATCACATATTTTAAAATGAAAAATGTCTGGCTCCTGACCAGAAGCCTATTATAATGGGAGAATTCACAATATATTGTTGGCTTGATGCATTTATGTGCAAAAATATATAAAATCAATCATCCCAACACTCAAATGGGAATTCTGTTCTCATAAACTCTGATATAGCTACTTATGAAGGTTTTTATAAAGCATATAATCATCAGCAACATGAGGAACATTCATTAGCAATCTCAACGAGAATCATATTGATTTCATAATCAAGAACTTATGTACTCAATGTAATTATCTGAACATATTTGCAAACTTCAAGTTGCAAGTTGATCATAAACACTAGTGACCATTTTATAGATGCATCTTTCACTTACAGAGTATTACTTTGGTTCACGTGGTGTCTAAATGGGCCCATAAATAAAGTTGATACATTAGAAATCTGTACGGATCTGATTTTGAGTATTGCTAGTGATGTTCTCTTTGAGAACAAACAACACATAAAAATTCTTAAATTATATTATCATTTTTAAAGAATCTTCTGGTTCTCTAATAAATGACAATGCACATTTTTCATGATATTTTGCATTATTATGATCCGGGATGATTTGACCGGTCATGCCAAACTATACATGTATAAACTTCTGGTTTATTATAAAATTATTCTCAATCATTAGTAAACTTCTTGTTACCATGTCATATTATTCATTTTTTACCTTAATATTTCATAAGGAATATGCTATTAATTATGGATTTTATCTTCAGGATAATAAATCATGATATAGCTCTTCTATGGCGTTATTTTTCATCTTTTACCTAATGGTAAAAACTTGTGCACTCATAGAAAGTTGAGCGCTACTGACTCTTTTGGAGCTTTTTCAAAATGAATATGAGATATAAGAAATGACATTAATATTAATAATAACAAATTTCATCTAACATAATTCACACTTGTATTTCAACAATCTCCCCCTCAAGTGTGAGTCATATAAATATATTTTTCTTATTTCTATATTTCAAATAGAGTGAATAGAGTAAGCTAATAACATATCTTTAACTTGAAAATCCAAATGCTTCCTAATTCAGATATAATAATGAATTTCAATCCAATTACGCTATCACCTTAAAACCTTTTGATAAACAAATATTCTAATATATATAGTTGTTTAGGAACTAATATATATTATTTTTCACTATATGATATACTTTACTTCTAGTTATGCTTTTTCAAAGTATGAAGTATATTTTTTTTTCAAAACATAAAATTTTATGGATATTTAGTTATTCAAAAACTTCACTTCTTTGTATATATTATGTAATGCTTCAGAACTTATTCATAAAATTATAAATCCAACAAAATTTTGAGAAGATCTACAAGGACTAAAATCAAACTATATAGTTATGAATATTTAATTCGTAAGCCTTCAGAGCTATTTATAGTAAATATATATTTTAACAATAATCTATGTCCCTTACTATTTGAACTATAAGCCTTCGGGACTTTAAAAATATCATAAGTTGTTATTTTCATGTCATTCAATAATATGAGTGTAATGGCTGATGGCCATTTAGTAATAGGAAATTATAATATTAATAAATATCAAATTGAATGTAAAGAATATATGAGAATAGATAAGAATAAAACTTAAATTTTAAATTAATTAAATATAACATGAAATAAAGAGAAAAAGGTAAACTCTTTTACCAATACATCCTCCACTATATAGTGATATTTTCTCATAATCAAAACTATATGACTTCAGGCCATTTAATAAAGAAAATAAAGATACATGGCATCTAGCTATTTAATTTCAAAATAAAAAAATTAAAGATATATGGTTTCTGACCATAAGATAAAAATTTGATGTTATATGGCTTTTAGCCAATTAATAAATAACAAAAAAATTAAATATTTATGACTTCTAGTCATAAAATAGAACATCAAAGTTATATGGATGCGAGCCATTTAAGAAGATATAGAAAAATTATATATATATGGCTTCTGGCCATAAAATAAAAAATTCAACATGATATATATAAATAAAGATAAATTAAATATATATATGGCTTCCCATAAAATAGAAAATACAAATTATATAGCTTCTAATCTTTTAATGAGATAAAAAAATTCAAATATATATGGCTTCAAACCATTTAAAAAAATTAGAAAATTAGCCATATATATATGGTTTCTAGTCATAAGATTAAAAAAATCAAAGCTATATAGCTTTTGGCTATAATATAGAAAATCAAAATCATATGGCTTTTAGCCATTTAATTTGAAAAGAATAGAAAATTAGAGTTATATGACTTCTGGCCATTTAATTACAATGAGATGAAAACTTAGAATTATATGGCTTCTGGCCATTTAATTTTAGATGATAACTCTTTAAGGATACTAAGAGTATCTATTAGAATTTCGAGTTCTATCCAAATAGTGACGTTAGGTCAATAAGAAATAGGGAAAAAAAATCCTCTCATCATAATTAAATTAGTTCGGAAGGTATACTATTTATGTCAAAATTAAATTGTAGCACTAAAAAGTAAAGCAAAATCTCCAATCATAACCATGAAACCTGATGTTTAAAACAACGGTAGATAATTCTTTTAATTCCATATAATGGTTTAGATTATCCTAGATAAATTGAATAGGATTATGGATACTCTGAAACACCATATATGTGATGCTCAAGATATTTTTATTTGAACAAAGCAAAAGATACTCTACAAAAATAATAGAGATGATGCTCTAAAATTATGCTAGGGTAGAAAGGTATATCATACGCACATTGATTAGAGCTTCGTGCTGATAACGTGTTATAAATAAAGAAGAAATATAAAGAAGAATCATATAGAAGAAGAGAGGATCAACAAGAGAGAGTATTTCTCATTCCATTCAAGAGATACTCTACATTATACATGGCCTCTATTTATAGGCACAATTTTACATCTTTGATAGAATCTACAGATTACATAATAATATGAGATAATTGTGAGATATAGAGATAATAGGAGATATTAGAGATTATAGAAGATATAGGAGATAATGGGAGATATATAGACATCCACAAAGATATTATTATATTCATAACATAAACCTTTTTTTTCCTTTTTAAAAAATATAAAAAACTAAAATAATAATATATGCTGTTAATATTATAAGGAAAAATATAAAAAAAATACTTGTTGAATTTCAAAATAATAAATAGATAGATAGTTTTGACATGTCTAATAGTCTAACTATTTATCATTTGAAATTTAATACGTATTTTACCTTCATTTTTCCTAAAAATTTTACTTTTCAAAACCAAAAAAAGAAAGAAAGCCAGAATTAATACCCACAGTGTTGGCCAAAAGAAAAAAAAAAAAAACCCCACAGCTCTCCAACAATAAACGACACTTCGTAGGGATCGCCTGAGAAGCAGCCCTCCAACGACACCATCCCATCCATCTGAAGCCAAGCACCGCTCGAATCGAAGTTTCTCAATCCTCACTGAAAGCATCGGAGAAGGGACTTGGATTCTGCCTTTTGTGAAGAAACAGTAACTGCTGAAAGCTAATAGGGAATATGGGAGATGACAGAGAAGATCCGCAGAAACTGAAGCGGATTGCAGCGGCTTCCTATGACTACGAGAACGACCCAAGATGGGCCGACTACTGGTCAAATGTCCTCGTCCCTCCCCATTTGGCCTCACGTTCTGATGTCGTCGAACACTACAAACACAAGTTTTACCAGCGCTTCATAGTATGAACTCGTCTATCTAACCCCCACTTCGATTAGTTTATGCTTGTGTCTGATTGTTGCTGTTCATGGGTATTTCCAGTTCTCTAAACTGGATTGGAGTGGTAAATTTCACTCGAAGCAAATGGCTTTGTCTATTTCAAAGTTGTTACATTTTTTTTTTTTGTATGATGAATGGAAACCTGAAAATGTCATTTGGGCTGTACTGGGAGGTAAACCTTCCTCGGTTCGGGGTGTCTATTAGATTGGGTGCTGTAGGATTCGTAATTATTCGTGGAAAAGAAGAATATTATAATTGTTTTCCTTCAAGTATCTACTTGCCCATTGGGCATATGAGTTCTTGCGGTTGTGGCCGTATTAATATACAGTTGTTCTTGCTCCGGTTTAGATGCTTAAACTTCCAACAAAGAAGAACTTCATCGTGTTAGTCAATGCCTTTGTTTGTAACTTTTTATGACATAACTTCTCAACCATGCATGGTGATCAGCACGAAGCCATATGTTTATAATATTATTTCTTTCTATACCTCGTCCCTTATCACTTCAGATCATCATCATCTAGAATTAATGCAGTTAACCTCAGTCTGTTGCTAAGTAATTTGCCTCTGTTAGAAGGATCACAAGACCAGCCTTTCTGGCTATCAATAAAATAAGAACTGATTTCTTTGACGGTGTAATCTTTGTATTTCGGTTATTGGTTTATTAATTTTTTTAAGGAGAGATTAGACATTGATTTTTGGGTCTTAAGATTTCTTGTGTTGAGTTAATTTGATTCATTTTTCTAACTACTTGGGACAGTGTATTTGATTAACCCTTTTGTTTTATTATTTTTTTTTTAAAGAGTAATTTGTTACTCTCATGGTCCGTACTAGAATTAGATTCTGAACTCTTTGTAGGTAGCCACAAATGTAAAAGTTCACATATATTTTGACTTACCTGTAATTTCCGTTTAGATGCTGCGTAACGTATGTTGCACTCATTTCTTAAATATTCAATAGGATCCTGAGCTCATAGTTGAACCAATGTCTACTAGTGGTTCATCCCAGCCCTCACGGCCTTCAACAGCAACATCATCATCGGGAAGAAATGAACAAGCTCCCTCACGAAACGCAGGTAAATTTTTCTTTTTAAGAATATCCTGCATCTGTAAAAGCATTTAAAAAGGGAAAAAGAGGGAAAGAAAAGTGTATATGAGACCTAGCTTATCTTGTTTCTTTTGTTCTTCGGTTGAAGCTAGCCTGATCTTTTTTATAACTGTTGAATTAAGTTTCAAACCTGATGCTGCAGGAGGATCAACCAATAGAGCCTCAGGAACATCTGCAACTACTGGTCCTCATCCATCTTCTTTGCGCTGGGATCGGCAGACAATTCAGTTTTCCGTTAATGCTTGGGTGAAGTTTTCTGATCATTGCTCAGATATGAATTAATTCATTCTATATCTTAACCTGCACTTGAACAAGTATTCATTCTTTTACTTCTTCACAGCTACAGTTTATGACACTTCACTTAATGACTTTTCACTTTATTTCCTTGTCAATGAAAACCGTCCACTTGTAGAACCCTTTGTTTTGGTTTTGGAATTGTCAACCACCAACTATGATATTGATTGGCAGTTGCTTAACAGCTTAAGTGGGATGGAGAATCCTCTTTCAAAAGCTAGCTATTGAGGTGGAAGAACTATGCCATTCAAATACCCATAGAACATCCCATGCTACTCGCTATGGAACCTAGACATTCCATACTACCGTAGTCTCCATCATTAGTATTCTATGTGAAATAATGTTGTAACAATAAGGATCTATATACTGTATGAATATTCTCAAACCCATTAGGATGGCATTGGAATGGATCAAGATACGTCTTTCATTACTTGTTCTCTTCTATTTTGCCTTGCCTCCACCCCATTCCTCTTGGATTTTTTTATTCCCCCTACTTGAAGCACAATAGTTTAAGGTATCAGGAATTATGATATTTAGTTTAGATGCTTTTTTAGCAATTAAAGAATTTAATACAAAGTCAGTTATATTACCTCAGTGAATTTAAATTATATTATAACATTTCTTTTCGTTGTTTAGTGCTAGAATTTATAAAAATTTCTTATAAAACCATTAATGATATATTACTTCAAGTTAATTGAGTTATATGATTATACGGTAAGATGTATTTGCATTTATAAAATTTAGATTTTCCACTAAGCACATAACTCCCCTGTGAAAATCTTTTAAATACTAAAAGTACAACGATAGTTCTCTCAAAACCGTCTAAATCTGCCCAAATACCAGGTTAAGGTTGAATTATCTAACTCAGTTTGGGGGAAACAGGACAGGCAAATATTTTAGTCCCTTCAATCCATATTGTATGCTTACTCATCTGAAACGATGACTGTCACCGATATTTCTATGAATTTCTTTTGTTTAGGTTTTTGTTGTTGCTGTCCTTGCTATCATTCCACTGGTACCTAGGAATATTCAACAAAGGGCATATCGACTTTCTTTTATGGGCACAGCATGCTCTTCTCTATACTCTTTGTACTCACAATTTGGGGTAACTGTTCTGTTTTGATGTCACAGTCAATATTATCCACCTGATGTTTTCCAGCCTGGTCATTTTCTGGTGCATTATCTTGTATATTGCAGAAACCAAGAGCATGGAATTTACAGGCGTTGCAAGTTTACTTTCAGTCAATAATTGGAACCAAAGATTTTCTCTATTTCATCTACTGTCTTACATTTGTTACTTCACATCTATGCCTTAAATGTGAGTATTACTTGGCTAGTTAATCCCATGATACTTTTGCTTGTGTCTCAGTATTTGTAATGTAATTAATATTTCTATTTCACCATGTAACTTCCATATATTGCCGTTGCATGATGTGTTGAAATTGCTGTTTTAGTTGCTTTGATTCCCATCTTGTGCCGGTCATTGGAGCATGTTACCAAATTCCTCAGACGTAACTTCAGTCGCTCCACTCTGTACAGGTGAAACTTTAACAATCTATGGTTCTTATGATCATGTCATTTTTTGAGTATAAGTCATTTAGTGCAAATGTCATTTATGGTTTGTACCAATTATAAAACCTAAGATTCTCTCTTCATCTATTTTACTTGAATTTTGATTTTCAGTTAATCATTTTATGATTTTGACGCATTTTGTGAGATCAACATGATGAAAGAATAGTGCTACTAATGGATTTATATCATTATTCTTTAAATGACATGTGACCGTTTTAAAATAAATTGCTTGCATTAGAAATTTATAGAATGTAGTTTATTTATATGGAATCTGAAGCTTAGAGTCTACTTGCTTGTGAGTTTCAAGAAGTAATATATTTATTTCTTTTATAATGTGAATAGGAAATATTTGGAAGATATTTGTGTTTGGGTGGAGTCAAATAATACTACTCTCAGTATACTGACATCACATGCGGAGATTGCACTGGGCTTCCTTCTGATCATAGCACTATTCTCGTCTGTTTCTCTACTCTCTCTTTCCTTTTGACCCTAATGTTCCTTTGCTGCAGAGGCAGAGCCCCTTTTTGTTTTGTAGATATTGAGTACTTCAAGTAATTATATTTTCTTGGACTATGAATGCAGGTGGCAGCGCAACATTATACAAACATTCATGTACTGGCAGGTTTGTTTCTCTTCTATCCAAATAAAGTTTGTATTGCATTTGCTGAGATTCCAGTACAATTAATGTTGTGGTAGATATCAAATTGCTTTATGCTCGTCCTTCCTGAAACTCTGATGCATATCCCGCCATGCACTCTCTACATATATGTTGTGCCTATTGACTAAGTAAATCATTGTTGTCACGGCACAGTGCCACATATGCAGCATTTGTGGTGTTGCCAAATTTACATCCCACATTGGCATGCTGCGCCGGTTTTATAGAATATGAAATTCTTCTTAGTTTTTTACTTGAATCCCAAAAATTTAAAACTGGTATTAATCTTGAATTTTTTTAAGTTTTAATGAACATTTTGATATTGATGGTATTGATTTATTTTCCGAATTAAGTGTTAATAGAAGAAATTAATGTTCTAAGAGAAGTTTTAAATTAAATCAAAAGATTAGATTTTTCCTCCCAAATGCATGCATTGCTTGTGAAATATTATTAAGAATACTTATGTCAGTTACTACTTACTGCTGCTGAAAGAAGTTTTTCGAAATTAAAATTACTGAAATCTTATTTAGGATTAACTACCCCATAGATTGAATGAATTAAGCATGTTGTGAAGAATGAAATGTTAAATTAAACGCTTATAAAACTTTGATAAATGATATAACGGCTTAGAAAACCAGAAGAACCATACAAAGATTGATGAATTACATCTGTAGATTTCTCGTGATTTTGTTTGAAGCATTGAAATTTCTAGGCATGACCCTGTACCTACATGTTATATATTTTGTCTTTTTTGCAGCTATTGAAGCTCATGTATCATGCTCCTGTTACTGCTGCCTACCATCAAAATGTATGGGCTAAAATTGGGAGAGTTGTTAATCCATTTATCAATCGTCATGCTCCGTTCTTGAATACTCCATTAGCGTCCATACGAAGGTGGTGGTTCAGATAGAAGTGAGGGGAAAACGCTGTGACAAGTAATTCTGTCGAGAAATTACTCAACTCTTCCATTTACTAGCAGAAAGAATGTCAGATCAAGGAACAAGTAGCTCTTTTGATCATACATAGAACTGAAGTCTTTACTATGTTCTCTTTTGTTTGAAAATAATGATCAGATCATGGATCGTGCTTTCACTTCGGTACTGTGTAAGTCCAAAATGTAGCTTCTATCAAACAATGTCTCAAATAAATCTACTTGTCAACTGATATGAGATGTATGGTTATTAACATGTCTGGTGTGCTCAGGATAATATATGCAAAATTTTGTTCCGGGGAAAGGAAGCGTTCTTTAGTTTTTGTTTCCCCCGGAAGAAACTGTTGTGGGAAAAGTGTTATCCAACAGCATGGTTATTTATCATATTATTAACTATGTGAGCTTCTATAATTTAGGTTAGCTACTGTGCATCTGTATGAAATTTGAGCTAGTTATATTGTCCATGGATTGCAAATTATGCGACTTTTATAGATTGTAATGTTTGCCTTGCCTAATACCGGGATTGGTGGTTTGTGCACTTGCTGCTTTCTGTGGATAAAGGAAGTCAAATTTCACATTACTTTCTTCCTTTGTTTCTCCCCAATATTTCCTCTTTTAAAAATAATTGACTAATTGGGTGAGAATTTCAAAATAATCAATACAATTGATTGAGAAATGAAATTGTACCAGGCAGCGAGTGATCGAACTCATAGCTAAATGTATAAGAAATACAGCTAAATGTCTAGCCTTATTTTTTTTTTCTGTTGCCATTTTAAACATTCATAAGACGAGGTAAAAAGGATAATTGTTTTTCCATAAAAAGGGGCTGAGTACGAGAGGAGTAACTTGGTCTGATTTTAATTCAATTATAATTTTTTTTTGACCAGCATAATTCAATTATAATTCATTCTTTAGAATTGGACTCTTTGTATATAAAACAGTCAATGTACATTTTTCCATTTTAATTTTAAATATTAATAAAATCTGATGATTTCTTCGAAACTCGTCTCAAGCGGCAGAAGAAGCTGACATGGCATCTAGTCATTGTTTCATCAGCTTATGAGTCAGATTGAAGCAGGGGGCCCCAAAAAAAAAAAAAAAAGGACTCGTCACAACTCACAACGCAGATGGTTTTTGGGTCGGGTCGTCCGCTTCCACGTTGAGTATTTCAGTGGCTTTTTTATCCAGACACGACAAACAGTAAAAGTATTTACTCAGATGCTATAAGATCAAAAATATTTACTCAGATACTACACTTGAAATCGTTCAGACAATGAACAAGTTTAAATTTGTACAGAAATTGTTCAAGCCAAAAACGACTTCAGTGGGACCCACATCCAAAATATGAAAGTTGTTCTTGGTCTGAACAACTTCAGTGGGACCCACATCACAAAATGGAAGTTGTTCTTAGTCTGAACAGCTTCAGTGGGACCCACTATTTGTCTTACACTCCATACATAAATCCACCACAATACCAAGCATGCAATCTAGAAGATGATTCGCATGTACAATAAATGTGGCAAGTGAACTGTCGATTCTCAACTCAGTTAACATGTGCAGAGTTGTATGCCAATATAGGTGACTTGGAAGATGTTGGTCATATTAAATCACAACTAATGGACAAAAATGCTGGAAATACTCTTCCATCAAGTAGCAATCAGCTGAGCATTATAGAAAAAGAATCCATGTTTAGCGATCAGATGGAAAATCTTCATCCATTTGAACTTCCCCATTTGGTCAAAATACGAAAGCTGAAAACGCATGGAGTGTAAGACAAATAGTGGGTCCCACTGAAGTTGTTCAGATCAAGAACAACTTCCATTTTGTGATGTGGGTCCCACTAAAGTTGTTCAGACCAAGAACAACTTTCATATTTTGGATGTGGGTCCCACTGAAGTCGTTTTTTGCCTGAACAACTTCTGTACAAATTTAAACTCGTTCACTGTCTGAACGATTTCAAGTGTAGTATCTGAGTAAATATTTTTGATCTTATAGCATCTGAGTAAATACTTTTACTGTTTGTCGTGTCTGGATAAAAAAGCCGTATTTCAGTCGACGGAGAGGCGGAAGGAGATTCTCGATCGATCGACGGCGCGTTTTGTGGTTCTTGTGCGAGATACCAAATGGACTAACTGTTGATTTATAAAAGGAAATTCAAAAACCAAAACTCGAAAATTCCACACCGGCCGGCACCTATTGTCTATTAAGTATTAACCCTCGTTCCTCCTCTTTGTTTGCGCTGTCAAATGGTTCAGATTGTTCCAGAACTCCAATCTCACACCTCTCTCTACGCTTGCATTGGCGGCTTCTCTTCTCTTCTGGATCGTCGCTCGAGGTATCCCCTTGTGTTTTCTTCACAAGATTCATATCCCTCTGCGCTTTGTTTGCTTGATGCTTCTTTACTTTTTTGCTCCCTCTCCAAAGAGGAATATGACGGGTAGCTTCTATCAACAGTATTTGTTTGCATCGTTTTCTGTCGTCTGGAACATTTTAAATGTTAAAAAGTACAGGGACTGAATTATAATAAGTTAAACTTGGATGAGCGATAATCGAGTTAAATTAAAAGTACGGGGGCAAAATGACTAATTTTTCCTTATTTTTAGCTACTTCACGATTCTTCGCATATGTTGCTCTTCTCCGTTCTCGGTGGTTCATCGTGATCCCGCCGTGGAGATCTCTGGACGCTCATTCTCTCTCGTGCACACTTCTTCGTTATCTATGTGCTGTGTGCCACCGGCAGTTCTCTCTATCTCGTGCTATCCCCTCTTCTGCGCGTTTCCAGAATGAGCGATTGAGATATAGTGAGCAGGGAGACTGAGAGGGCGCTAGCTGAGCCGGCGGAGGGAGAGACTGATAAATATATTCAAATTGATACCTGGAGGCGATTTTCTTTGTGTTGATTCTGTATTTCTAAATCCCCCGTGTCGATTAGAGGAGTGCCTGCCTGGCAATTGGGTTCTATGGGATTTGAAGGAGGCTGTTTGGTTTAATCGAATACTCGTTCTCATTTGAATTACGTGAGTGTTGATCTGCATTCTAACTTGGCTCTTACTTATCTTATTGGGATACTTCTCCGGAATTGGTCATTGGCTCTTGCATGAAGGCATGATCGGCGATTTTGGGATAGAATTTTTCTTGCAATGAACTTATGTTAATGCTATATATTCTTACTAATGGGCATGATTTCTGGTAGTAAAATGGAGGTTGAAAATCTATTTATACGCGATTTTTGTTGAGTTCTGAGGACCATGAATAAGTTTTGTTCAGAATCCATTGTCTTTCGTCCATGTGCCATGGTTCTTGCTATGTATGAATTGCGATGAGAGGATGCATGGATAAGAAGATTTTCGGACCTTCTGTTTCTGTTATTTGATTGAATCATGGTGGCTCCCATCAGTAATGTTCGTTTCCTAGATATGAATAATTTTACTGGGTTAGGTTGCCATTCTCCTTCGCTATTTCAGACTATAATGATATGGAAGCCCTGACGCTCAGTTGATACCTTTGGTGCAATTCAACTGCTGTTGTTAGTTAAGATAGTCTATATACAATCGTAGCCCTTGATAGTCATAAACTAACAGCTCCTCTTTTAAGAAAGGTTGCTCTGTCCATCTTGTTTGGTTTGCATCTTGTTCAGGATTTGATTGCAGTAGTTCACTAAGTAGTTGTTGGCTTTACTATAGCAGACATTTGTGGCTTGGTGGTTTAGATGGCAAGGGTAAGAGATAGAACAGAGGATTTCAAAGATGCTGTACGACAGAGTGCTCGCTCTTTGGGGTATGATGAGGTTAGTTCATTCTCTTGATTCTATTATTCTAAATGCCCATAAATTCTGTTTCTGGTAAATAATTTATATGGATTGGATCGACTGCTTATCTTATTGGGGTGTTTTTGTGGGGATGAGGGTTTTTTTCAAATGGAATCTTTGTTACATTACTGCCTCATCTTATATAGTTTGATAATTTTGTCAGGCCAAATTGGCATCAGTCATGGCTTCTTTTATCATTCACAAACCTCGGCAAAGGTCACCATTTACTAAAGCGGCACTGAAGACGGTATACTCCACATTGCCAACCCCCCCCCCCACAACAAAAAAAGAAAAGAAAAGAAAATCTTTTCTGAAACTGTGTTCGTTACCTGATCAGCACAATTTGGTTGTAAAGACAATGTGATTACTATTGTCTTATTATTCACTAGGAAAAGAATCTAGTCAATCATTTTTTATGTTTCTCAATCTCTGTTATGCCTCTTTCCTTTTTGTTTTATTAGCTTGAGAGTATTGGAGAATTGGACCAGTTCTTGTTGAAGCACAGAAAGGATTATACAGATCTGCACCGCACAACTGAACAGGAGAGAGATAGCATAGAACATGAAGTAAGCTATGTGTTTCGACCTGAGAAACTAGTTTCTGATCTTATTTGATGTATCACAGTATATACATTAGCACTTAAGAAATACAGACTGGTATTATCTGTCCTGCTTTGACTAATACCATTATTAGATCAAGCTTGTTCTGTCAATTTGCTTCCATTTAGAATGGATTCTTTATTACTCAGTAATATCTATGAGTTGAGAGTTTTAGCCCATTTCTGCAAGGGGTATTAGTTCATCATGTTGTTGAATGCATTGGTGGACCATCCCAAATAAAAGTTAGAAAATTACGGTGCCCTTCATTGATATATAAATTCAGTTAAGCATCTTTGAAAATATATTGTATATATTTTTAACATGATCATTTTATATGTCCAGGTCAGTACTTTTATTAAAACTTGCCAACAGCAAATTGATGTTCTAAAAAACAGTATTAATGATGAAGAGGCGAACTCAAAAGGCTGGCTTGGCATTGCAGCTGCGAAGTCTAATGTGGACACTATAGCCCACAAACACGGGGTGGTAAGGACTTCTCTTTATTTTTTCCTTTTTTATAGCGCCCTAAAGAAGAGCTCCTAGACAACTGTTCTAGTTGGTTAAATGGGTTTTGAATATTTATCTGCAACAGGCATTTCATGTGGATTAAAAGCTGTACTCTATATATATCCTTGTCTGTACTCTGTACTTCTTGCATTCCCATTTTCTACACCTGTCAAAGTTTGAGTATTCTGTTGAATTTTTTTAATGCTAAAATGTTGCATGAACTGAAAGTGTTTACTTAATTTTCTTTTTTGGTGTATTAATTGTTTGTTTGCTACTTTCTTGAACTATAGGTTCTAATTCTGAGTGAGAGACTCCATTCCGTAACTGCTCAGTTTGATCAGCTCAGAGCTGTGCGCTTCCAGGATGCTATTAATAGAGCTATACCACGAAGAAAACTTAACCGTATGACCAAAAAGGATTCTGCAGAAGCTTCAAACTCAGGCAGTATGGAGCTCAGAGAACCTGATGAATCACGCAATGAACCTCTAAGAGTCCAACAGCAACTCTTGGATGATGAAACACGTGCTCTTCAGGTTATCAGAATTTTCTTACTTATGAGTTTGTATTGGACTTCATCTGTCATTTACACATGGCCAGTAGTAGAACAGAGAGAGATAATAGGTGGATATAGAACAGAGAGAGAAAGAAAGGGAGAGAGGGAGAGTGGAACGTGAACGAGAGGGAGGGGCTGTTCTTCTGAATTTCACAGTAGGCAATGTGAAAAATACAATCATCTAAATCTTCTTTTCGGAATAATCAAGGCTATATATATATATATATATATATGGATCCACTTGCAAAATTTCCTTTACAAGAGGGAAACTTAAAGCTTGCTTGGCCAACATAAAAGTAAATCTAAGGTTTCCTTCTATAAGTTTTCCTGTATTTCCTATCACACTTGTTTTGTGATTGTTTGAGATTCTCATCAGAAATCCTTTGCTTGGTTTTATTTCTTGCAGGTGGAATTGACTAGTCTTCTAGATGCAGTTCAAGAGACTGAAACAAAGATGGTGGAAATGTCTGCACTGAATCACTTATTATCGACCCATGTTCTGCAACAAGCTCAGCAAATTGAGCTCCTATATGACCAGGTTAAATGTCACATTGCTCACGGTTTTTTCTTTATTATTTGGCTGTTTAGGTGTGTGCGCAGTTATGTCATGGATCATTGTCGCTTGTTAGCCATATTTGTCTCCTATTCCTATCTCATATATCTCTAGTTTGAATTCTCTGTCTATTTTTTCTTCCTCAGTACAGTGGAAATTTGTAGCTTTCATAATCTAAGGCTTTTATACTTTATAATTGAAACTATCAATGCCATTTGAAGAAGTGCAAGAATCTTGTTGCTCTTATGAATGGTGGAAAGACTCAGGCTTGAATGTGATACTTGTTTAACTTTGTGCCTTTCATAAATCTGGGTGACTTTGATATTTCAGCTATTTGAAATAAGTGTTAATTGACTGCACTGCATTTGGGTGTCTAGACTCAGGAATGCTACGTTTAAGATATGGTAGTATTTGATGCCCGGTGGTTGTAGAACTCCTATACCTGGAGGCCCCAAATTCTGCTATGGCTTGTAAATTCCTGTTGTATTTTAACTCGGACGTTCTTTAATCTCAGAAGCTTCAAACTTCCCCATTGGCAGTATCCTAAACTCCAAATTCATTTTCAAGCTCAAATATCTAATCTTACAATTTTGGAACATTCACACTGTTTAAAATGGCACCAGAGCCAGGAGAACTTCCTTGCTCACCGTGTTGTGAATGAAGTCATAGCACTCACTGATCACATAGCCAAGGCTTCAGAAACAACGCCTAGTAGTACTTGATGTTTCTGTTCTCTGCTGTTTAATTTGATCCTCTTGTAAGCTGTTGTAAATATTCTTTTTTTCAATATATTCCTCATTCAAAAAAATGGCACCAGAGTACGCAGTTTAAAATTTAAATATTTCTTGATGTCTAACGACTGCTGGAATATGGTTTATACTCAGATGTTAAGGACGATGATTAATTCCACTAGATTTCGTTTGGTCACATGTGGTTCAATAATTACCGGCGTATTAGTTCTCCCCAATCATTTCAAAGTTGTATGACATGTAGTAATAGTTCTTATTTGGCATCCTGACAGGCTGTTGAAGCCACCAAGAATGTGGAGCTTGGTAACAAAGAACTGTCCCAGGCCATTCAGCGGAATAGCAGCAGCAGAACATTTCTTTTGTTGTTTCTTTTTGTACTTACTTTTTCTGTCCTCTTTCTTGATTGGTACAGCTGAGCACATTGCATTTTTCCTTAGTAATGTTATTTTCACAGCACTTGCTTTATTTTCCCGGTCAGTTAAATATCCCAGTGTTATTTATCCTCTGGGAAGATATGCTTGTCCAGATTTGGTGTATACACGAGGTGGAAGAAATGTAAATACATTGAAAGCTATTTAAGTGAGAAATTTATCGGGGTGGAAGAAACTTGATGATGCCTTGCTAGAGTCCACTCATATTTGGGTCCGCTGTTTTTTTGACCACTTGTAATTTGAGTTAGCTGGGATTTGGATGAACGTCAATATACCATATATTATTCATTAAGCCTGATGTGCATGGTTTTGTTGCCATTCATGTGATTTTTTTTAGGGGTTCTTGAGTCATAATATGTTTTTTTTAAATTTGAAATATATAACTAGCCTTGTTGTTCGTACATGGATTTTTTTAATTTTTAAATGTCATTATTCGAACCACATCCGATTAATTCAAGTTAGAAGAATCAAAGGCAGAATCGTAGATATCACATGATTCCTGACAAGTCATATAAAATTATACTATCTCCGATTCTAATTATAAGATCTCGTTTACAGTCTACAAATGAGATCTTATACTTAAAAATTGAAAATTATTTTGTTTCTTTTGTACTCCTTTTCAATATTTACCGTAGAGTCCGGAGAGGTTTGGCTGGTGTTAATATTTACCTAGGTAAATGTTGGTGGAGTAAGTTCTAGTTTTCATCCTGACAATCGATCATTAGAAGCCTACAATATGTTGGTCTGATTATTGGAATTTAGATTCTAATCTTTCCTTTTCAAAATGAAGCAGTTGACGTGAGAAAAGTAGGTGGAATTTTTGTCTCTTTTGCCAACGAAAAGTAGGTGAAATTTGAATTCTCAACTACCAGTTTTTATACTTTGGCCAAAAAAACAAAAATTACTTTTTTAATTCTAAATATAAAATCTATTTTATAATATAAATTATATTATAAAATAAGTTTTATATTTAGGATTAGAGCAGTACTATTTATTATATTTTGACATATACAGATTTAGGTAGGTTCGAAGTTGTGAGTTCCTGCGGCTTGCAAGACTCTCGAGCACGTCACAGAATAATCTTGCTTTTGACATCTGCTCGTACGTAAAGTTTTTTAATCATTTTTTTAATTAGAGAGGGAACACTAATATTTTGAGATTATAAGTGGGAGAAATCCATAATTTCCCACTTACTAAGAAACTTTTAATCATTAGGCTATAAAGCCAATAACACCATATTCTTTTTCTAGTTTCGCATGATATTTACTTGTTTTTCCAGGGATTCTTTTCGTGGAACTCTCCAATTGAATTCGTATTTTAACCATCTTATTTTTTATTTTAATTACTTATATTCCATAAAAGTAAAGTTGGGTGGGCTTTTATGCCTGGTACAAAATTTCAAAAGGGAACCACCTTATTTATCACTTTATAAATGTAATTTATCATATATTTTTTAAATATATAAATTATAAGGTTAATTTTTTTCTTATGAAATGGAACCAAAATGAAACCACAAAAGTAGAAAGATGAAGACAAGAGAATGATAGAACTTTTTGTATTTGTTCACTTGCACTACAATACAAATAACATGCCCTATTTATAGGCATAGTCTTACACATAGATTACAATTGTCCTTAAATGAAAATAGTGGATAATCAATCCCATGAATGTGAATGGAGGTGAGTTATAAGAGTGAATGAATAGTAGAGGAGTAATGGATGGTGGAGGTAGTGGAAGTTACTTGGAGAAGATGAAGAGGAAGGGGTAAATAGATATCCACATAATATTCATAACACTCCCTCTTAGATGTTCATTATACAAATGTGTCTCGTTAAAAAACTTCAACTAAGAAAAACCCTGTGGGATAAAAACCTAGGGAATAAAAAGAGTATACATTTATCGATATACTTTCTAGTGCTACCCCATCAAAAACCTTACTAGAAAAAACCCGGTGGGATAAAAACCATAGTCAAGGAAAGAGAGTACAACATGTGTTAACTCCCCCTCTTAGTAACATCAATAGATATCTCTAAATCTACGGCATCCAATATCATGAATAAGCTTCTCAAATATCGTATAAGGAAGTGACTTAGTGAATAAATCTGCCATATTTTCATTGGAACGGATTTGCCGGATGTTGATTTCACCATCTTTTTGAAGATCATGAGTGAAGAAAAATTTTGGTGAAATATGTTTTGTTCTATCTCCTTTAATGTACCCTTCTTTTAGTTGTGCAATACATGCAGTATTATCTTCATACAGAATTGTCGAGATCATTTTGCTGGAAGATAAGCCACAGGTAGTTTGTATGTGATGCATTATTGATCTTAGCTATACACATTTTCAACCTGCTTCATGTATTGCAAGAATTTCTACATGATTAGATGATGTGGCTGATATGGTTTATTTCATAGAACGCTATGAAATGGTTGGACCACCATATGTGAACAAATAGCCTGTTTGTGATTTACCGACATGTGGATCAGATAAGAATCCAGCATCTGCATAACCAATGAGTTCAGTCTTGGGTACGTTTTAGTAAAATAACCCCATGTCCATAGTACCCCTGACGTAACGAAGCACGTGCTTAACTATATCTTGCTAATAGGTTAACAACAAATAATATATCAGGTCGTGTGTGACTAGCAAGATATATGAGTGCACTAATTGTACTAAGGTATGGTACTTCTGGACCAAGTAGTTCTTCATCATTTTCTCGAGGTCTAAAAGGATCTTTATCTTTCTCCAAAGATCTTACGACCATCGGAGTATATAATAGATGTGATTTATCCATATAAAAATGTTTTAAGACCTTTCTTGTATAGGTTTCTTGATACAAAAAGATCTCATTTCTTAAATATTCAATTTGCAATCCAAGACAAAATTTGTTGTTCCCAAGTCCTTCATTTCAAATTCTTTCTTTAACCAACCCATAGCTTTTGTAAGCTCTTCAGGAGTTCCAATGATATTTATGTCATCAACATAAGCAGCAATTATAGCAAACTCATTTTTAAATCTTTTCATAAAAATACATGGGCAAATTGGATCATTCTTGTATCCCTCATCCAATAGATATTTGATTAAACGGTTATACCACATATGCCATGATTGCTTCAATCCATAGAGAGATTTATTTTACTTAATTGAGTATTGCTCTTGAGAACTTGAATTGTATGCTTCTGGCAACTTGAATCCTTCCATAGGAGTTTCATATAAATATCATTGTCAAGTGAGCCGTACAAATAGGCAGTAACAACATCCATCAGATGCAAATCGAGCCCTTCTTTTACTGCCAGACTAATTAAATATTAGAAAGTAGTTGCATCCACCACTGATGAGTATGTTTCTTCAAAATCAATGCTAGGTCTTTGTGTAAAGCCTTGGGCAACAAGTCATGCCTTATGTCTTACAATTTCACCATTTTCATTTTGTTTTCGCACAAAAACCCATTTGTATCTGACTAGTTTTACATCTTCAGGTGTATGGACTACAGGTCTGAAGACTCCAGTGAATTTAATTCAGCCTCAATTGCATCTTTCCATTTTGGCCAATCTTTTCTTTGGTTACATTCCCTAATAGACTTTGGTTCATGATCTTCATCATCATTCATCACATCAAGCGCTATATTATACGCAAAAATATCGTCAATGTTGACTTCATTTTGATCTCATCGTATTTCATTCATAACATAATTTATTGAGATCTCATCATTTTTGCACATTTCAGGTACCTGAGTTTCTTTTGGAATTGAGACATTAGCATTATCTAATGACTCCTCTTAAATTACTATTTTTTCTGGATTATCCTCAACTTGGCTATTTATATTTTTAGCTCCTTTTCTCTTTCGAGGATTTTTATCTTTGGAACCAATGGCCTGTCACGCTTCATGCGTGCTTTAGATTCATTTATAATAGTAGGTTGTCCAACAAGGACATCAATTCTGATAGGAGCATTGGTAGCTGGAACATGTGATTTAGTCACTTTCTTTGGGTCAGTAAATGCGTATGGCAACGGATTAGCTAAACTTTGTGAATGAAGTATCTTTTGAACTTCTAGTTCATATTGTTTTATACGAGGATCAAGTTGAGATAATAAAAGTTCCTTCCAACTAATCTCTTTTTCCAACTGCTTCTTTTCTCCCTCTAATGTTGGAAATTTTGATTCATCAAAATGACAATCGGCAAATCGAGTGGTAAATAAATCTCCTGTTGATGGTTTTAGATATTTTATTATAGAAGGAGATTCATATCCAACATATATTCCCATCCTTATTTGGGGACTCATCTTAGTACGTTGTGGTGGAGCAATAGAAACATATACTGCACTTCTAAAAATTTTTAAATGGGAAATATTCGGTTCCTGACCAAAAACCAATTGTAAAGGGGAGGACTTGAGATAACTTGGTTGCCTAATACGAATTAATGTTGCTGCATGCAAAATTGCATGTCCCCAAGCAAAATTTGGGAGATTTGATCTCATCAATAATGATCTTGCAATTAATTGTAGTTGTTTAATTAATGATTCTGCAAGTCTATTTTGTGTATGAATATGTGTTACATGATGTTCAACATCAATCCTAACAGACGTACAATACTTATTGAAAGCTTACGAAGTAAATTAACCAGCATTATCCAAACGTATTCTTTTGATTGGATAGTCAAGAAAATGTGCTTTTAATCTAATTAGTTGAGCAAGCAACCTTGCTAATGCCAGGTTACAAGAAGATAATAAGCAAACATGTGATCATCTTGTTGATGTATCAATTAAAACAATGAAATATCTAAATGGTTCACATGGTAGGTGTATTGGCCCACAAATACCCCCTTGTATGCATTCTAGAAATATGAAAGACTCACTTTCTATTTTTGCTGGTGATAGTCGAATGATTAACTTTTCTTTAGAACATGCAGCACATGAGAAACATGTGATTGTGGAATATGTTGACTTTTTAGTGAATGTCCATATGAATTCTCAATTATTTTTCGCATCATAATAGTTCTAGGATGGCCTAACCGGTCATGCTGAATATTAAAT